ACACACACACACACACACACACACACACACACACACACACACACACACACTCATGCTACCTGTTCATCCCAGATAGGCTAAGAGTTCTATTTCTACCCCACAGTTACTCAGGTCTCACTCTGAGGGAAGCTCCGTCTCTGTGAATCTGTAATTGCCAACGCAGGAAAAGTGAAACACAGCGAATTGTGCCCTGGCTCTTGACATTTTCACCTGGTATAACACAGATCACTTTAATTTGTTTTTTGGTTTTTAATTTTAGCCAAAGAACAATTTTTAATTGATGTTCATAGTAAAGAATTTAACCCTTTGTCACATTTTACAAATGTGTTTCCTAACTTTATTTTTTTTTGCCCAGTTTTTCTAGATATTATGGGATGTATCCAGATTATATAAAACTTGCCTGTTTTCTTTCAGAGCTTCACAGTCTGCTCCAGATGATACAAATAAATCTGTGAAAGAGAGTTAGGAAACAGCTAAGGCATTATACGAGTATGTGATGGAAACAGGAAGAAAAGGCAGTTGTTACAAGTTTAGAGACAAATAAAATAAAACCCATCAATACGGATGGAAATGCTGCCGTGAGGATTCCTCATTCTTCCTTTATTTATTCCTCTTCAAGCACTAGAGAGAACAGTGATTTCTATATACCTGAAAGAATTAATCAAATGCCCTGCTGCTTTTTAAAAATAATCTTTAAAAAGAAAGGCAAAATGTTTTGTTATCTATGTGGCCATGCATATATTTAATAGAACTGTAAACGAGAGATATATGATATTTTTAAAAATTATTCTTTGGAATAAAATTTATAGTCCAATGCTCACAAATATAATTTATAGAAAGTACTCTACTAGATAGCATATAAATATTTTACAAAAACTTAGAAATGCAAGCTACTGAAATTGTTCCTCTCAAATTGAAGACAAAATAAATTCTCTCAACATCCATGATCAAAAGACTTTTCAGCCAGTTTACTGTAAATGATTGGAAAAGGAAATGTAAGGTATAATTTTCACTCATCTAAGAACAATTGCTGAAACTTCATGAAACGAACATCTTAGAACTTATTTTAAGCAAATCAACATGTGCAGGAACTTTACAGCCGAACTATACAAATTCTCTCTGATATATGCTCAAGCTTCTTTTACACTGCAGACTATAAGGGCAAGGAATGGGATGGTACTAATTTTATGAATTATTTAAGTAAATATGATTGTTATGCACGATAGTTTACTTCTTTTTTTAATGTGTCAGGTGCTATTTTTTTTTAACATCTTTATTGGAGTATACTTGGTTTACAATGGTGTGTTAGTTTCTGCTGTATGTATAACAAAGTGAATCAGCTATACATATACATATATCCTCCCTCTGGATTTCAATTGTATCTGATTTTTCAAACAAAAAACCCATACTTTCATATTAGCATATTTCTAAAGTTAGTATAACTATTTTTTAATTAGAAGTGTTGAGTGTCATGGTTCTGGGTTTGGCTGGTGAAAGACACGGAGCCCCTATGATAACTATAGTCAATTAGACATAAGCATCACCTGTCACAAAATATTCACAGCATTATTATCACTGTGAATGATTGAGTTGTCAACTCTATAAGCCAAACAGGGCAGAAGCACCACCTGCAAATATTTTAACATGTATTTATCTCCAGTCAAATAAATAGGTGACTGAGGGCATTTAATAGGAAACCCAAGGAGGCAGAAATACAAGTGCGAGGTGTGTGGTAAGACCGGTGGACTCCTCGCCTTGTGAGGTGCACCTTCCTAGACCTTTCCCTATGCTATTCTAGTATTCTAAGCCTTCAAAAGTCATGTGTGTTGATATAAAGTGTAACAGTGCTGATGCTGTGTATGTCAACATGTCAAGTCATCAAGCATAATACTTTGCAGTTCTTGGCTCAGTACTTGGGCAGATGCCTGGAGGGTGCCTTAAGCTGCTTCAGCCTTTCAACACTGCCTCTACTTGAGTGCCAAAAAGATGTTTTTATTGGAAGTCTATTTTATTAGCCTTTATCCACAGGGAATCTCCTGTTTACATTTCTATTTAACTGTAAGTTCTCCACCCT